ACCACCACAACCATCATCATCATCATCATCACCGTCGATATTTGATATAAAATGGGTTTTAGGTGTATTTTGTGAAGAAACTGATGGAGATTTCTGTTCCAATCGATATCCGAATAATGGTTTGAAATGCCTTCGTGTAGTTTGAACTGAGAATTCGTCTAGTTTTTCAGTGTTTTCGTATTGGATTGATAGCTTGGACCAAAAGTAACTAGGTTTGGCACGGTTTTCGTGGATTATTTGTTTAAATCCACTTTCGCTGATCATCATCATCATCATGGATATCTGATAAAGTGGGTGTAGAGGTGCATTTTGATTAGAAATTTATTCGGATATCGCTCGGGAAAAAAATTTTCCCAATGCTCTGGTCTACTTTGGACTGACAATTTCTTTACTATTCCTACTTTTTCCTATTGGGTCGATAGCCTGGAATCAAGTTGATAATTTGTTTCAATCAGTTTTAATTGGTACGTTTTGTAATTCATGCAGGCCGTTTAAGAGCTGATTAATAATACATGAATTCCACCTTAATGTTTTGCTTTTTAACTGCAAATGATACTTGTTCAAGTTAAAAAAATGTTGATGATTTGGTATTAATATACAGGGATCAATAATTCACATGTGATCTCGATTTTGAATTTTAACGTAGTTACTTCCTAACCTTACGTTGGGTTCATTATTTATTCACTTCGAGTCGGCATTTCTTGCATAATCTGGATCGATAAATTATTAGTTTTTCATTTATTCGTAGACTTTTGCATTGATTATTACTTTACTTTTATTTGGTGTTATTCCATGAATTGATTTGGTGTTATTTTGACAAATGAATAATACTTGATAGTAACACACTTTGGATCACTTATCATCGTTTAATTGCAAAGAACACTGTCGATGCAATTTATCCCATGTAGTGTGGTTTGGTGCGGTGGGGTGTAGTGTAGTGGAGTGGAGCAAAGTGGGGTGGTGTTTGGTGTGATTTAATTTGGTGTGGTGTGACTTAATTTATTGTTGTGTTGCAGTGCGGTGCAATGCAGAGCAGTGTAGTGTAGCGGAGTGGAATGCAGTGTGGCGTGATTTAATTTAGTGTGGTGTGACTTAATTTATTGTTGTGGTGCAGTGCAGAGCCGTGGAGTGTAGTGGAGTGGAGTGTGGTGTAGTGGAGTGTAGTTGAATTTAATGGGGTTTAGTGTAGTGTGGTGTGATTTAGTGTGGTGCAGTGCAGTGGAATGGAGTTCAGTGAGGTGTGGTTTTACTTTGATCGGTGACTCATATGTATGTTATTAAAATCGGTATTGCGTCGGAGAGCGATGAGTAATCTGCAGTGAACGACGTTGAATTTCAGCTTCGTCACCATCGTCACTATTACCATTATCATCATTATTATTACCATCGATCGTGCAATGATGAGTTGTTCAACCTTGGTGAGGGTCATGATGCTGACGATAGTTGTGATAATCATGGCAATGATGGTAATGAAAATCATCAAAATGATACTTTCAACGGTGGTAGTGATAACGGTATTAGTCATGATGATGATGATGATGATAATTTTAAATAATCATGATGATGATGGTGCTGGTAATCGTGATGATGATAGTGATAGTAGTGATAAGCATGTTGATATTCGTGATACTGTTAACAGCATTGACGATGGTGATGATCATGTTATTGATGATGGTGATGATGATGATGACAATAACGAAGGTGGTGGCGTTAATGATGATGGCGATAGTTGTGATGATGACGGTAATAATCATGAAATCATGCTGATAATTGCCATGGTGATGATGATGATGATCATCACCACTCGGCCTCTCTACCCGACACAGGTTCTGTCTTATTCCTTTCAACTAAACAGGGATCAACTTATCAGCAGTGGATTTTTAATTTGAATTTTCAACTCAAGAAAACACGATTCATTATTACTACTATTGTTATTGCTACCATCACTATTCAATTCCAGGTTGGGCGGGTAGGTCAGTGGGTGGGTGGGTGGGTCAATAGTTTGTTTTAATTCGAGGTAGATTATTATTATTGGTGTAGTTTTAATTCAATCCATAGGTGCTGCTGTGCTGCTTTTTCCATTTCGTCTAATTACCCCCCTTATTTTATTGTTTCTGTAAATAAACCTGAATCTATAACGTGATTTCGACCTAACCGGGACCACTAATGAATGCATAGTTAGGGTTGCATTTAGTTTTCGTATTTCAAACAAACATTTTGAAATCCATAGAGGCTCTTTAGGTGTTGATTAGAGATGCATGAATTTGGCCTTCTTTTTATCCCTGTTAACTAAAATTCATACTTAAAGTTGACAAAAAAATTGATCATTCACGTGTTAAAAAACAGGGATTAATAATTTACCTGAGATCTTGAATTGGAATTTAAACGTTGGGTTGATTATTTATTCACTTCGAATCGGTAATTATTACATCAACTGGATCGATAATTGATTCATTTTAAAGCCGTTTATTGTTAGACTTTTATAACGATTATTATTGTACTGATTTATTTTGACAGAACTCAAAAATAGTCGGGAGTAAATTTTGAATTCAAATTTTGAGCTCACTTAGAACGCGTCGGGTAGTTTGGCACCAATTAATTGCAGAGAACTCGGTCAGTGCAATTAATCCCGTGTAGTGTGGTTTAGTGTAGTGTAGTGAAGTGGAGTGAGGTGGGGTGAAGTGAGGTGAGGTGAAGTGTGGTGAGGTGTAGTGTGGTGAGGTGGTGTAGTGTGTTGCGGTTTCACTTTAATCGATAACTCATTTGTCTGTAATTAAAACCGGCATAAAAATTACATCACACGGGGATCAGTCATCAATAGAGGGCCGTGTAGAATTTCACATTGAACTCATCACACGATTGATGATAATAGTAATATTAATAATAATGATGATGATGATGGTGATACTCGTGATAATGGTGATGATGATGATGGTGGTGGTGGTGGTGGTGGTATTGGTGGTAGCAATAATAATGACACTAATGGAAATGATCACTCTCATGGAAATGCTGCTAATGGCGGCGATGATGTTCGTGGTAATAATAATGATGATGATGAAAGCGACAATTCGATTTTACATGGTTTCATTTTGCCTGAACACCGTCATCATCATCATCATCATCTATATGTGATAGAAAGTGGGTTTGTAGATGTATTTTCTGTAAAAATCACGATGAAAATTTCTTCTCCAATCGAAATCCGATTGATGTTTTGAAATGTCCTTGTCTAATTTGCACCAAGAATTTGCTTAGTTCTTTAGTGTTTTCGTATTGGGTTGATAGACCGGTCAAAGGGGTAAATCAGTTTGGCGCAGATTTCGTTGATAATTTGTTTCAATCCATTCTAACTCATCATCATCATCATCATCATCTTCACCATTATGATAGAAAGTAGGTTTATAGGTGTATTGTTTGTAGGAATCTGAATGAGAAATTCACTCCGAAAATTGATTGGAAAAGACATTTTTGAAATGCTTTGGTCTACTTTGGACCAAGAATTCATGTAGATTTTCACTGTTTTTCCTATTGGATTACAGTTGATAATTTGTTTCAATCAATTACAATTGATAGATTTTGAAATTCATGGAGGCCGTTTAAGTGCTGAATAATTATGCATGAATTTGACCCTATTTTTTTCATTTTTAACGAAAATTGGTACTTTTTTAAAGTTGGGAAAACATGATGAATTGGTTTTAATAAGTAGGGATCAATAATTCACCTGTGATCTTGAATTTGAATATTAGGGTAGTTAGTTAATTGCCTTGTGTTGGGTTGTTTACTTATTCACTTCGAGTCGGCGGCAGTTTTTACATAAACTGCATCGATAATGGACTCATTTTAAGTCCATTTGTTGTTAGACTTTTGCATCGATTACTAAGTAACTCATTTATTTTCACAGAAATCAGCAATAATCAGTAGTAAATTTTAGATTCAAGTCTCGAACTTACTTAGAACACGCTTGGATGATTTATCGTCAATTAATTGCATAGGACTCCGCCGAAATAGAGTGGCGTAGTGTAGTGAAGTGTAGTGTGGAGTGACGTAGTGTGGTGCAGTGTGGTTTGGAGTGGTGTTGTGAAGTTTGGTGTGATGTTAGGCAGTGAAGTGTGGTTTGATGTAATGAGGCGTGATGTTGTGTAGTGAAGTGGGGTGGGGTGTAGTTTGGTTTGGTGTAGTGTGGTGCGGTGTGGTGTAGTGAAGAGTGGAGTGATGTAGTGAGGTATGGTTTAGTGTGGTGTGATGTAGTGTAGTGAAGTGTGGTGAGGCGTAGTTTGGTGTAGTGTAGTGACGTGAAGTGTAGTGGGGTGTTTTGTGGTGTTGCGTAGTGTGGTGCGGCTTTACTTTAGTTGGTAACTCATTTGTCTGGCATTAAAACCGGCATAAAAATTGCATCAGACAGATATCACTGATCAGTAGTGAGCGATTTCAAATTTCAACATCATCACTGCACCATCGATAATGATAAAAATAATATTTTAATGGTGATGGTGATAATGATGACGACATTGGCGTTGATGAGGGCAATAATAATAGTGATGGTGATAATCACGATGACGGTAATGATGATAATGGTAATTGGATGTTTTGTGATGATGATGATGGTAGCGAGAATGATGTTAGTGGTCGCGATATTGATAGTCGTGCTAATGGTGATGATTATCGTGAAAATCGTGCTGATGGTGCCGATAGTGGCAGTAATGGTAGCGATGCTGAGGGAATTCATGACAGTTTGTGCTAATAGCAACGATGACAGTGATTGCGATAGTGATGATGATATTGATGGTGGCGATAGTGATGGCAGTGATGGTGGTGACATTCGTGACGGTGGTGATGATGATGGTGATATTCGTGGTAATGGTGATATTCGTGGCAGTAGTGATAGTGATAATCGCGATGATGATAACGATAGTGGTGGCGATAATGGTGGCGATGATAGTGATGGTGATGATGATAATGATGGTGATAAGGGTTATATTCGTGGTGATGATGATGATGAACATTGTGATGATGGGGATAATTGTGGTGATGATCATTGCAGTGATGATGGCGCTCCTGACGATCCTAATTGATGATAACCATGATTGAGATGACGGTGATGGTCGTGGCAATAATAATGGTGATGGTGATGAGGAGGAGGAGGATGGTAATAGTGATAATCATAATAATGATAACGATGGTGATGCTGTTGTTGATGATGCCGATGAGGGAAGTGATATTCGTGGTATTGGTGATAGTGATAATCGCGATGATGTTAACGGTAATGGTGATGATGATGACGACGGTGGCGATAGTAATGGGAGTGATGGTGGTGACATTCGTGATAGTGATGATGGTGATGATATTCGTGGTAATGGCGATAATGGTGGTAATGATGATAGTGGCAATCGTGATAATGCTGGTGACGATGATGGTGGTGATAATCACAACAATAATGATGATAACGATAGTGATGACGATGGTTTATCTCTAACTGACACGAGACCTGTTTTATGCCTTTAAGTAAACAGGGATCAAATAATTAGTTATTGATTTTTATTTTGAACTTTCAACTCAACGAAACACGATTCATGATTATTATTGTCGTCTAGTCCCCGGTTTGGTGGTTAATAGTTGATTTTAATTCGAAGTAGATTATTATTATTATTATTGGTGTGGTTTTGATTCAATCCATAGTTGCTCCTGCTGCTGCCACTGATCCAGCTGATGCTCTATTTCCACCTCATTTCATTTCGCCTAATTACCCCCATTTATTTTCTTGTTGCTGTAAATTAACCTGAATTTGGGTGATTTTGACTTAAGCCGGACCAGTAGTGAATAGTTAGTGTCTAGGCATTTAAGTTCTGTATTTCAAACAAAATCCCTAATTAGTCAGTTAATTGCTTTAATTCGCAATATTTCAGTGTGCTGGTGCTTGAGATTCACTCGACGGTAACAGCTTTATCAGTAGTCTATTTACAACGCATTATTTCATGCTTCTAATTGCATCAGTAGTTGATGTATCTCTAAGGCAGGCACATCGTAGCGATTATCTAGGCTTGAAATGTAATTTAGTGCAATTTATTTAGCTTAAATTTACTCAGCTCAATGAATCATCACTTTCTGTGCAATTTTTGCATTGATAATTGATCATTGCTTAATTTATATTGCCTTTAATTAAAAAGTGATATTTGATTCACTTCGGGTTATTGATTAAATCGATTTCTGACTCAGTTACTGCCATTTAGCATGGATCGATAATTCCAAGCCACCTTTGCATTTCGTGTGTCATTTGCCTTCATATCCCATCGATGCCATTTAACGTGGTTTGAATTGCCGTCATGTTAACTGCACTCTTATGATCCACTCAATTTGACATCCATTGGGCGTAGTATATAATAATAATAATATTATTATTATTATTATCATCAACTAATCGACATTGATATTTAACGATTGCCTTGAATCTAACTAGTCGCATTGCAACCACATCAGTGTTTCACTTATTTTGAGTTGACTTCAAGGCATTTAACTTTTACACATGATTTTGAGCTTAGAATGGGAATGACTACCGGACTCAGTTTTGCAGAGCGGAAAGAGGTGGTTGTTGTATCCGTGTTCCTTCTTCCACCCCTAGCCGAGGTCTCTTATTCCCTGCGGACGCGACCGACCTCCGCAGCCGACATGCCCACCGACCCGTCGATGTTCGCCGTGGGCAGCCAGGGCGCCGCCTCCGTGCGTCTCTCGCTCTACAACGACCAGCTCCGCATCCTGTGCAACGTCAGCTGAGCTGGCCAAGCAAGCCAGGGAGAAAGGAGGTTGTCTTTCAGTGATCACGCCAATTCTTACTCTCTCTCTCTCTCTTTAATTTGTTTCTTTTTCTTCCATACGCCATACCTCTACTTCATTCGACGCTAACGACTCTCGCAGTAGGTACACGCGTGATGGTAATAAA